CCCTGCCCACACCATAACCGTCACATCAAATGGTTCCAAAAAGGAGAAAATACAGAAAAATTGATGAGAGACCTAAAGAAAAAACCAAAAAGTGTCAAAATACGGACATCATGTAGCTAGAGAGCGACCCAATTTTGCCTTGCCTCTGCCTCTAGTTCTAAGGAATGAGCCAGCTAATAAATTGGTAAGATGAGTGTCATTGTCAGTAATGTGTCGAGTGTCATTGTCAGTAATAACCAATTTATCATCCAATAGATTCCCGAGCTCGAGTCGACCTCCATTATTCTTCTTCCTCATGGAATAAACTTGTCATTCATCATCCGAAGATTGACTCATCTGATCAGTGGATTGGTCTAAAGTGTGTCGGGTATGTGTAGGTTGTTGAACATTAGAAGCAACTACTTGTTGTACAGCTGATCTTTTATCGGATCGAAAGAGCACTCTCGTGTTGCCTTGACACATGAGTCTTCTTCAATAACAGTGAGTGGTATAAACACATTTGGATATGTACTTGTAGTATGGTGTTTTTCATCTGGAACTGCAGTGTTGAAAAGAGGATCAGGTTGAACCTTCTCAGTAGAGATGGTAGGTGTCTGATCTTTAGCGATATTTGGTCTTATATGAGGATGCAAGCGATAGCAAATAGTAAAACTGTGGTCAAACATACTATAAAGAGAGCAATAAGGAGGGTGTGGTTTTATTTCAACCTTTTGTCAATGCCCGTTGTGAGAGATGTCAATTCATACCTCATCCGGAGCTGATTGAGTGAAATCTCTCAACTAATACACAAGCCACAGAGTATCTGGTGACAGCAAGCGTAGGACTATCAACCTTGAAAGACTTACCATAAGTAGTTGCTAAAGAGTAGAGAATTACCAAGTTGAACAGATGCAATTTTAACCTCAAAAATTTTATCCAAATAGGAATGATAAAGGACTCCAATTTTGGATTAAAATCGACAGTCCGCTTCAGAATTTTCATAAAATAGTTGTCAATCTTGATAACTTTTTTAAAAAAAATGCGAGTGTAATCGGCATCGTAAGATAACTGAATAAATATATGCCGATCATCAGGTAAGCCAATATTCTAACTGCCCAATAGCTTCAAGCATCAAGCTCTTTCCGAATGATCTCCAGTTTTAGGTGACCATAAAGGAATTTCCCTACTAGATCAATTCGCCAAGATGACACGAGAGTGCTGGTTTTAACCTCATGTTTCCTATTTTTTTACAAGTTTTTAATGAAAATGCGATTACCACCGCCTTCAAGAGCATCGTGGAAAGATTGAGGAACATTGCAAGACTTGTCAATATGAAAACCTGGCTTAGAACCTAAAAGAGGAGCACGAGTGGGAATAGGAAAGTCGCCAGCAAGTGCATTGGCATAGAAACGCACTGTCGAGGCCATATCCAGAACGGCTAGGCGAGCCACTAAAAAAAGGCAAGTAGACATGAGTTCTGCGGCTCTGTCGAGAGGAGAGGAGCCGTAGCTGCGAGCCGCTGTTAGGGCTGTCACGTCATGCGAAAGAGGGCAACCGGAGGAGACGAGATCTGTTGTGTTTGAGTGCGTCAGTGGGAGAGGAAGAAGTCGCAGCAGTCAGCGTCGAAACAGACAATGACGCACGCGAGCTGACAGGATGCTCGACGTCTAAACAGGCGAAGCTGAGGACCGATGAGATGCTATATATATATATGTATATATATATGTATGTATATATATATATATATATATGTATGTAT